ATATGCGGCCCAGGAGCTGAAGTTACTTTTCCAAAGTCACACAGCTAGTAAAAGGCAGAGCTACACTTGAACTCAGGTCTGTCTGGCATCAAGTCCATAGTGTCACTCATTCATTCCCAGAACAACCTTTACTAAGCACCTATTCTGTGCCAGACACGCTCCGAGATGCTGGAGAAGGAGAGTTCATAAGGCACCATTCCTGCCCTCCAGGAGTAGGGCAAGCCCATCAGATAGACGGCTGACAACTTGAACACCAAGAATGGAATGAAGGTCATCATCAAGCAGGTGACGTACCTTTACCTATGCCCTGCTGAATAGATCAGCCAGGCTACACTTGCTGTTGACTTCAGTTTTCTACCCAGTAGTACACTACCTCCACCATCACCACCACTCTATGACCACCATCGCCACCATCACCATCCACTATGACAATGACATCACTTTCACTTCCACGCTCACCACTACCACTTCCATTACCATCACCAGTGCCACCATCACCACTACCCATAGTATGACCACTGTCCCCTCCATCATCACCACCCATAGTCCAACCACCATCCCCTCCATCCTCACCCACCATCACCACCCGTAGTGCTACCACTGTCCCCTCCATCCTCACCCACCATTACTACCCGTAGTCCAACCACTGTCCCATCCATCATCACCCATCATCACCACCCGTAGTGCTACCACTGTCACCACCATCATCATCACCACCCATAATACTCCCACCATCACCACCATCATCACCACCACCCATAGTACTACCACTGTCACTGCCGTTATCACTCCCCACCACCATCACATAATCACTTATAAATTAGCTTCTCCTGGGCAGTAAGTACCCTCAACCTGACTGCTTGCCTTATCTCCTTAGATGCTTCTCTCTCTTCTAAGTTTCTCGCTCTTCTAACCCATGCATTCGTCCAAACTATTTAAATTCTAGGGTCTGGAGACAGGCTCTGTTTTGCTTAGATTCGCTTCCACTTTCCTGGAAATTCACCCATCATTCACTTCCAGAAAAGCAAATTATTATATTTTTTTTCTTGCTAATCTTTCAAATTGTATACATAGAACACAAGTACATTTTCTCAGTAACAGACCTCACACAAACAGTGTGGGCAGACACAAAGTCTGTCTCTGACCGTTTGACCCTTGGCCAAGCTTCATCCTCTCCCATGAGGACCTGAGGAACCCTGGGCAGACCGCCCCCTGGTATACCATCTATGAGGAGATGTCCGTCTTATTTCAGAGATTGGTCTACGTTCGCTGTTCCACCCAGCACTGTGTCTTGGGGGGCTTTCTTATCTGTGCCTACACCCTGGAATAGTCGGCCTCTGCACTGTACTTGAACCATCTCCCCACAGAGGTCTGCAGGGTCTTCCTTGTTTAGAGACAGAGCTACAAGGAACAGCTTTGTAAACAGCTCTCCGTGCCCTGTGTGTTTCCTAAGAGCTGCCCAGCACAGAGCTGCTCCTGTGAGGGTGTGCGCATTACGTAGTTCCACACAGACGGCGAAACTGCCGCTCGGAAGGCTCGTTTCCACTCCTGAGAACGCAGGGGCGTGCTCGGGCGAGGGCCCCCGGTTCCCCACACCCTGCCCAACCCTAACTCCACAGTCTCTGCCAGTCTCCTCGGCAGGAAGAGATCTCCTTTCCTTCTGAATGTCATTCCCGCCTACTAAGGAGCTAAGGTGAGCAGGTTTTCCTATATGTACCAGCCATTCCTAGTCGCTCTGTGGGAACTGTCGGCTTATAGCCTTTCCCCATTTTATTTTTATTTTTTCATTTTTATTATCATTATTTTTTAATTTATTGCGATTTGGGTGAAAGTTTACAGAGCAATTTCATTTTCCATATAGCACTTCATACACATTTTGATTCATGACCTTGACTGCAATTCCCCCCAATGTAACAGCTCTCTTCCCACTTCCTCCCTGTGGTTACCTCTTCCCTGTGCCCTTCCCTCCCATGCACTCCCCCTTCTCCCCCCAAGTGGTCTCCCTGTGCAAACACTGCCCTTCTGTTCTCCCAGGATTGATCCTCCAAGGAGTGTATCCACCTGATGTAAATGTTCACCCCATATGCCTGTCTACTGTTTGGCTGGAAACCACATCCTTCCCCATTTAAAAAAGGGAATTGTTTTCATTGAATTATCCGTAGGAGGTTTTTTTTTTTTTTAAATTCATCCTTTGTCCCTTATATCTGTAGCAAGAATTTTCTCTTGGGATATTGCATTTGCCTGCTTTTTGAGTTTTACTTTGCTCCCACACCTTTAGTTAGAAAATTACTTGTTCCATGGGCAGCTTGGCCTTGGCCTGCTGCACCCTATGTGACCTGAGCAGGTATGGGGGCCCCTCGCTCTTTTGGGGGCAAGAGGCAGGATCAGGAAGCATTTCAGCCCTTGATTTCCTTTCCTTCCTGTTTCCGGTGAGAAGGTTCGGCCCCAGTTGGCACTCTGCGAGTAGTTCAGCTGGTGGGGGCACAGTCCAAAGTCTTTACTCCTCAGCTAAGTCAAAAACCAAACCAAACACCCCAAAAGCAGCCCCTAAACCAACAATAAACCCAAACTCGTGGCCATGAGTTGATTCAGACTCACAGTAATCCTACAGGGCAGAGTAGACTGCCCCATAGGCTTTTCAAGGTGGTCACCTCTACGGACGCAGACTGCCACGTCTTTCTCCCACAGAGGTGGTGGGTTCAAATCGCGGACCTCTCAGCAGCTCCCCCACCGCCCCGTCTCCCCTGGGAGCGCAGGATACAGCAGCTCTCACCCCCCGCCCCAGCACACACTCTGCCCCCGCACAGAGGGACACCAGGTAACTCTGCACAGTCACCCACGCATGGTTTGGCCCGCTCTCTCTGTCGTCTTTACAACCTCCTGGCCCTTTACCTGAGCACGTGGGCGAAGGCCAGGGGACAGCTGCTGGTCCAACAGCCTCTGCAGGGACTCCAGGGAGGGAAGCGTCCGAGCGACCTCGCTGGGGGCAGGGGACAAGGTGAAGGACAAGGATTAGTGGGAACACGCAGAAGCTTCCGAGGCAGAGCGGGCTCCAGCGAGACCAGGTCACGCCCGGTCTGCCTGACACAGGTAGCCTTCCCTCAAGGACAAGCCTGGGCAAAGCCCCCAGCCTCCAGGCGCCTCCCGCCAGCCCCGTCTTCCGCACCCCGCAGGTCCTGGCTTAGCGCTCCTGCAGGATCCAGCCTGTAGAAAACTCAAATCTAAAATCACACAACTGTTCTTGGAAGTCACCTGGTAATCCAGGGTTCCCCACCTTTAGCGCTTCTAATATGCACACCTCCCCCCAACGTCAATTAAAACTTGCAATTAAAAATGCAAATTTCTGGGCCCCCAACCTGATTGGACTGGGCTGGAATTTGCATTTTTAAAATACGTGCCCCAGGGCTTCCTAGCGATAATGGTCTGTGGATGTTGGTTCCAATTCCCTTTGTAGCCGCTGAGACGGAGCCCTGGTGTTGCAGTGGTTAAGCTCTTGGCTGCTAAACAAAAGGCTGGTGGTTCTACCACACAGCACCTCTGCAGGACAAGGACCTGCAATCTGCTCCCGTGAAGATTACAGTTTAGGAAACACCACGAGGCGGTTCTGTGCTGTCACAGGGGCTCAGTGTGCGTGGGAATCTACCATTGGCCCCCAACAACAACCGTCTGGAATGGAGGCTCTCCTCTGACCTCCCAGGTCACAGACTATACTGAGTCTTTCTTCTCATCACATCGTTTTCTACTGTTTTTCTTCATTATTTCAAGCATGGGGGGGGGCAGATACTTTGTATCCTAATTTGCACTTATTATCTCATCAAAAACGAGCTCTAGGGGCATAGTGGTTAAAGCATTCGGATGCTAAGCAAAAGGTCGGTGGTTCAAACCCACCAGCCTCTCCTTGGGGGAAACACAAGGCAGTCTGCTTCCATAAAGATTGACAGGCTCAGAAACCCTGTGGGGCAGTTCTACTCGGTTCAAAAAAGGGTTGCTATGAATCAGAACCAACTCGATGCCAGTGGGTTGGGTTTGTTTGATTTGATTTCATCAAAAACTGTTCATGTTTTTACATATTTAGCAACGTAACGGCTTCAAATTATTCTATCCAGTGAATGTGCCAAAATCGGTTGTGAGATACTTGAGTTATTGGGAGTTTTGCTATTAGAACCACAGGCTGCTCCAAGTAGCTCCTCCCACAGCTTCTCTGTTCTTATTTGGATCACCGTCTTAGGGGAACCAGAGATGGCTCCTGGTAAACCTTGCCAAACCCTGGTCATCATCAACCAGTCACAGCGCCACCAAGCTGTCTAAACCAGATCACTCAGTGTCTTGTCCAAACTCTATTATCTTCTTTGTCTCTGTGTCTTTCAGTGGGTATAACACTGCATTTCAATATTAGTGCATGTATTTGCATTTTTTAAATTTCTCCTGTCATCCAACAGAGCCATAGTGGCTACTGTGAAGTGGTTGGCTGCTAACTGAAGAGTTGGTGGTTCAAACCCACCCAGCGGCTCTGAGGGAGACAGACCTAGCAATCAGCTCCCATAAAGATCACAGCCTAGGAAACCCTACGGGGCACACGGACTTGACGCCCCCTTAATAACAACGTCATTACGTATGCTTGTACACACTCGGTTTCTCCCAGATTTCTCTTTGTCTAAACCAGTCATATCCTTTATCAATTTTCTGTTGGGAATTTTGTTAGTACTTTTGTACATTGGTATAAATCTTTCTACATTCTTTTTTTATTTAATCAAGGTATTATGCTTTTTCTAGTCTGTTCTTCTCATGCTAAGTGGGCTGGGTTTCATTATAAAGTGATTTCTACCGTTTCCATTGTTCTGTTTTTCATCTTGGTAAATTCTTCACTTTGCTTGTTTTAAAGTGGGTTCTTGTTCACTCTCTTAAAGTTATAGCACAGGCGCCTTTTCATGTCGTTGGCCACTCCCGAGTTAGCCCCGGTTCGTGGCCGCGCCCTGCACGATGGCGTCAAATGCTGCCCAGTCCCATGCCATGCCTACGATCAGTTTCAGATCACACTGTTGCGACCCACAGGGCTTTCAGTGACTGATTTCTGGAAACAGACTGCCAGGCCTTTCTTCCTGGTCTGTCTGAGTCTGGAAGCTCCGCTGAAAACTGTTTAGCATCACGGGAACATGCAAGCCTCCAGCGACAGACAGTGGTGGCAGTGCTTGGAGGGGACTGGCTCAGGTCACATGGAAAGTGAAGATTCTACCCCTGAACCGCTGACATCCTCTTCTTCTTTTTAAATGTTATCTATGTTCAATTCCTGGTCTCATTAGGAATTTTATTTTTTGAGGAACTCAGTTACTTTGCGTCGGTGTTGCTCGGTTCCACCAACCGCAGTCACCTGCCCGTCCAGTCTCTGAGCTTATCCCCTGCCAGCGCCTCCCAACTGGTTTCCAGGCTCCCGTTCCCGCCTTCGACTAAAACTTGGCAGCTTGCATTCCAGCTCCTGGGATGGTGCCTGAGATTTAAACCGACTGACACTGAGTCAATGCCAACTCAGAGCGATCCTGTTGGACAGAATAGAACCGCCCAGGAGAGTTTCCAGGACCGTAGTTTTTTGCTTTATTTGTTTGTTTTTTGTTTTACATGCACAGTAATTTATTTAAAAACGGCTTAGTTTCATCTTGAAATGTATATGAATGTGTGTATATATGCTTTAGACGGCACATACTGCAGCGTGACTCTCCTGTATCATAACATACTTTATTTAAAAGCATCCAGCTGAGGCAGCAAAGTTCAGACCCCATCTCCCTGACTCGCTGTGATGTTCAGGCGGCCTCTTGGAGCTCCTGAACCCAGAGCCTGGGCTGACCGTCTCAGCTTAAAGCATCTCTTGCTTAGTCATAAGGCACCTGGCGTTTGACAACAGTTCCGAATGGCCACAGCCAACAACCACCGTGCTCCCATGAGGTCCACTCTGCCCCACACCAAGACCAGAAATACTGCACAAAGCTGCCATCTTTAATGGAATCAGATCGCCACATATTTCTCCTGGGGAGAAGTTGGGGGTTCAAACTGCTGACCTTTTAGTCAGCAGTTGAGCACCTAACCAGTAGGCCACTAGGAAAAAAAAAAAACACAAACACAACCTAACCTGCTGCCATTGAGTTGATTTCAACTCACAGCAACCCTACAGGACTGAGATGAACTGCTCCATAGGGTTTCCAAGGCTGTAAATCTTTACGGAAGCAGATAGCCACCACTTCCTCCCATGGAGTGGATTCAAACCACCAACCTTCTGGTTAGCAGCCAAGTGCTTAACCACTGCACCACCAGGGCTCCTGTTTTAGATTCAGAGGTTTTGATGGGCATCCTTGGGACAACTTCAGGAGCCAAGAGTGAGGGTCAGGGTCTGACTAGGGCTGGGGAGGAAGCACAAGGCAGGCAGGTTGTCAGCTGTCCATCCCAGACGCCAGCTCCGCTCCCCTCTGCTGACACAGTGGTATCCTGTTGAAACTGCCATATGAGAAATGAATTCCAGGCACAAGGACAAGGTTTCCAAGCACTGATTCAGAGCGGGTATTAATCTCAAGCAGATATCCCTCGCAGGTCTTTTTCTACGTCTTATCCTAACACACACAGACCACCTACACAAGCACACAGAATCTAGGATTTTCTAAGTATAAAATGTGTAATCTGGAAATAATTACTTCTGACCGTTTTATAATCGTGAGAGATTGAACTGGCTTCCCAGATATGTCTGTGGGAGGCGTCCGTTAGGGTCGCAATGACCAACGACCCCTGGGCTTCAGGTGGGAGGCTTAGAAAGAACCACCCTTAGTGTTCAGAAAATCCAGACCCTGGAAAACTGGGCACCAGTTTTAGAGAACATTCCAGAAGGCAGACAGAGCTGAGACTGGGGGTTGTTGCCGTTGTTGTTATGTGCTGTCGAGTTGGACCCGACTGACAGTGAACCCTCCTTGGGTTTCTGAGGCGGTATCACTATGGAAGTAGATTGCCCACCTTCCTTCTGAGGAGTGGCTGTGGGTTTGAACTGCCAGCCTTCTAGTTAGCAGTCAAATGCCTTAGGCAAAGACAAAGAGGGCAGTGGTCCCAGGCAGGTCAAGCCCCAGATACAGTGGAAGGGGCTTGGGCCCCCTGCCTGGCCTTTCTGGAGCCCTCCCAGAGGGCCCCCACCCTCAGCCTCAGCCCCATTCTCTGAAGGCTGTGGTGGCCGCTGGGTCTCTGCCCAGAGTACCCCTCATCTCTGAGCTCAGAGCTCCAGGCAGTTCTGATGTGTGTGGTTTCCTTTACGCCCTCTTCCCTGAGTCGTGCTCCTTTTTCTTAATTTAGCAAAATATTTCTCGCAGCATTAAATAGGGTGATAAAGAGCATCTCTTTATTAAAATGCTTAGTGGTCTGATGTGGTTTCCCTGGCAAGTATAACATAAAACAAACGCACAAACAAAAACCAAGTGCTGTCCAAGTGGTTCAGACTCAAAGCAACCCCACGTGTTACATACAGATTGGACTGCCCCTTAGGGGTTTCTTGGTTGTAACTTGGAGGAAAGAAGACTGCCAGATCTTCCTTCTGTGGTGCTGCTGGGTTTTGAACCACCCACTGAGTTGGTAGTTTAATGAAAGTAATTTGTACTGCCTAGAGACGTGCAGTTAGTTGTTTATGGACATATACTACATTAAGAAAATATCCTTCTATTTGTTTTTTTAAAATAATTTAAAAAAAATCAGAAATAAGTTTAAATGTTTATCACACATCTATTAGGACAACCATACAAACGGTCCTTGTATTTTTTAATCTCTTGCTAAATTACAGTGTCTTCTTTTTGTGGCCTTATCATTGGAGTAATTTATTAAGTCAAGCCTACATTCATTACATCACTGAATTATATTTGCAGAATGCCACTGAACTTTTTTATGCTTATATTAATAAATGAGGCTTTTATTTCAGGCTATTATCTTCATACCAAAAAACCAAACCCACGGCCATCGTGT